ATAGAGTACAATTTTATGAGAACTTGAATTGATGGTAAAAAAAAGAGTCAACTCTCCTTAAATGTGGTAGGTTTATAATAACAACAATTTACATTGTATAAGGGTATTTAAGAAAATTAAAATACAACTACATTTTTCAATTGAAAAGTGGACTATAATTTGGAACAGATGAAGAAGGAAAACATGACTATCAAAGTGGGACGGAGGGAGTATAAACTTGCAGTGAGTTTACGTGTGTGGTCTGGGCTTATTAGTCTGTTTGCCGGCCGGGAGAGGAGCAAATTGACTGCTACGTCCAGCATGGGCATTGCTCTAGCCTCTAGGGAACGATGGCTTCTTCGGTTTTCCAGCTAATAATTGCTTCATGATTGCTGGGCACCTCCACAAGGGAATCTCAATTATTCATCTTTCGAATGATAGAGAAGAGAGCAGATGATTTGTTAGTATTTTTAACCTCTATAATTGCTAATCTTCAGGATTTCAACAATAATGCACTTCATTAATCCCTGATTTCTCCTAACAACCTTATTTAATTGTCAAGAATTGCAATGTCGTGCCCGGGAGAGAGCAGATGTTTCACCATTTTGATCAAACACCTCGCAATGGATTTGAAGTGGTGCTGTTTCCAAAAACCGGAACGCAATTGGTGCTGGTTCTGCGGGCCTATTTAGAGCCCTCCGCCACCGGGGGGGGGGCGGCATAAATTAAATGTGATCGCTGGCTTTTCGATTAAATTGGAGCGTCGGTCGTGCTCGCGATTAAGTCGTGGTGACTAATTATGTTATACGGAAGCCAACCTCATTCCTCCTAAGTCTTATCTTAAGGACCACATCAAAGAAAAAAAGGGAGCACCCTTCACAAAACGATTCACCTAAAATTTTAAGCACGTCTTTTTTTTTTTTTTTTTTTTGATAATAAACATGTCTTATTTGAACTTAGCTTCCGCGTGTCACGTAATTAAGCCCTTAATATGCTACTCCCACTAAAAAGATTTGAGAGATCAGCGTTTCTTGGGGGCATAGAAAACTTCAGCACCTGAAATGCTGGACCACTATGGAGCACCATGCCTAATTGGTCCGTGTCCATGGGATGTCTATAAGATTTGTCGTTTGTATCATCGTAACGACCATATCTTTGTGTGAAGAAAGGTTATCATCTAAATGATCTTGCATCATTTTTATTTTTTTTTGGTGTATAGTAAGAGTAATAAATGAGTATAGTTAATTGGAAAGAGGGTTGAGTTGGATAGTAAATAAGAGATTATGTATTCAAAAATACTTGAAATGTAAAGATAACGAAACATATAGCGATAGAGTAGGGAAAATTAATAGTTTAAAATTGATGTGTAACTTTTAAAGTCATAGCAGCTGTCACATTCATATTTTTCTTATTAAATTCATTAAACAAGTAACAATTTATGTATTTTTAACACCTATCTTTGCCAATTATGTAATCGACTCTCAACTTTTGAATTTAAACGTGCTGGCTAACATCTACAAATAATCTTGAATGATTGTTCTTAATTATAACCTTTGAATTTTTCCTAAACCTAAACTCGTTTTTCTTTCCAACTTGTTCTTCCCTAGCAAACAAAACATACTGAGTTTGTTTGGATAAGAATTTATTTGGATGATTTATTTGATGCAGTTACTGTAGCACTTTTTGTGATGTGATGTATATGAGATAAAAAGTTGATTGAAAATTGTGTGTATGATGCAAGCAAAACAAAATCTGAAATTTTTATTCCAAATTCTTGTTGTTCAAACAAACTCACTCTTTCCCTCCCATATCTTTGAATTTTTTCTATATCTAAACTCTCGTCTCTCTCTCTCTCTTACTTTTTCCTCTCCAGCAAACAGAACATATTCTTCCTCGGAAAGTGGTCTGTTTTAGTCTCTCTTCCTCCCATGTCCTTTTTCTCTTGTTTTTGCATTTGAAATAAAATCTCTTTTAAAGTTTTCTAATAAGAGTTTCTTCTCTTCTTGGAATTTGTAATGAGAGTTTTCTACTCCTAAGGATTTCTAGTGATTTAAAAATGATTTAACTGTTTAAAAAGAACACAACTTTTTTCATTTTATTTTGATGAAAAAAATAAGAACTGTCTTAATTTCGAACGAGGGCGTACGCAATTGACAAGTGAAAGTCAGCAAATTATTGTCAGGATGAAAATAATCGTCGACAGCAGGGTTCGAACCTGCGCGGGCGAAGCCCAACAGATTTCAAGTCTGTCTCCTTAACCACTCGGACATATCGACGTTGTTGAGACTTGAGAGCCATGCCTTCCCATAATATAGAAGAGTAAAAATAGTGGACCTTTGTTTATATGGTTTACATTGGACTCATATCAACAGAATTGTGGGTCGGAAGCCCAGTAATGGTTCATTTGAATGTGTACCTGATGCAAATCACAGCCCAATACGAATGACGAAAAAGATTCAAAATTTGTACCTGAAAATTGATATGGATATGTGAGTTGCATCTTCAAGCCAATCCCCTTTTCCCAATTCCCTTTTAAGGTCCAGAAATTCTTTTGCTAAAGATTACATAAAATTCATAGTTTCTTAGATTTTTTTTTTGGTTAAGAGAAAATTTAAATCAGCAAATACAACATTAACCAAAAAGGAGGGAAAATAATTATCCCACCACACAAATCTTTGCTCTAAGCCGGCCGCTAGCTTAGCTAATATTAATATACTAGTATTTTGACCCGTGCTATGCATGGGATTATATTTCAAATTAAAATAATATTGTATATATTTATATATTGTGGTACAGAATAATATATATATATATATATATAGACTAAAAATTTCAAAGAAGTGTATGTTTAACATGTTGAAAAAATTTTAATTTATGGTGATTTACATGATAGAGAAATTTTTAACGCATTAAGAAGAGAGTTAGGTTGGGTGGTAAGGTGAGAAGAGTTTTCTAAAAAAAAAATTAATTTATCAGTACCCAACAAAACATATTATGTTATACCCATATATCAAAACTTATAATATAAAAAAATTATAACCAATTTATTTTCTTCCATTTTTAGAAAAAAAAAATCTTTTTCCTATTTTGTACCGCTAAAATTATTGACTGCATTTAGATTAGCGCTTTTTTTATGAACTTTAATGTATATTTTAAAAAAATCTCTGTAATATATATTTTTAGAGTTCTCAAAATTATTAAAAATCACCATCATTTCCCTCTTCTCTTATCCGCCAGTTAGTCATGGTACCACTCTTTCTCTATTTTTTTTTTTGTCATATCTGTCATATCCCTGCAATCTCCTTTCTTCTTCTCCCCCTACTCCGCCCATCCTTGTAACCTACATTTCTTTTTCAACTTTTCTCGCCATTTCTCAACTCCTCACTATTTTCTTCCCTCTCCCTTCTCCTCCCATACCCAACTTCTAAATTTATATCCATGCACCAAATATATTTAACTTTACCTATCATAATGAAAATATAAAATTGAAAACTGATTACAACGGTTGCAATTATTAGTATCTAAAAATGGAAATGAAAAACTGATAATATCTATAATATCCTCAAGTATTACAATCAATATATATATATATATATATTTAACATAGCAAATGCATATTTACATATGAAGATGGCAATAAGAATACATAAAATAATTAATGATACCAAAAGTTATTCTTAGTGTTTGGGTTTTACACTCTTATTTAAATCTAATCAAGGTCAAATTTGGGCCAGATATATACAAATTAAGTAGTATTTTAGGATCGAATGTTCTATATTTTTCTCTTAAACTATAATGTTACTTTTTTAAAATTTTTGGTAGAATTGGTGTTGTTATTATCATATTTATAAAAAAAAAATTCCACGTTAAAAGACCAGTTGTACTTTGTTTTTTATTTAGTGATTTCATAATTTAGATTTCATGAATGGTACCATTCTTGATTTTTTAAATCCACAACATTATTTCCTTTTTGTTTTCTGTTTAATTTTGCTCTTTTACTTAGGATTACTAAGTTAAAAGATAAAATATTATCATTTACTTTTTTACTTTTATTAAGATTGGCAATGTTTTCTCTTTATTTACCCTCCCACTAATAAACTTCAAACTAAATTCTTATATAAGTGGAGCCATTTCTTACTTATTTAAATTAGAAAGGCATGGAAGTCACTTCTTACTTAGGAAAATATTATTTGCATTCCATTTTTTATTATTTGTAATTCCACCATTTGTTTTATCATATAGTCTAATTAATGAAAACTATATGATCAAAATGATTCTTGAAGTGTGAATAACAAAAATAGAGTGTAAATAATCTTACTTATTTAAATTAATAAGAAAGCATGAAAGGATGTTATATTTAAGTAAGATTTTTCACTCAACAAAGGATGTTATATTTCTTGACCTTCAAAATTATCGTAGTTATTTTACTATGTAATATACACAAATTCAATTTGAAGGGAGACATTCCACCATTTGGCGGGTCAAACTTTTTTCGTACCGCCCGTTAATTGCGTAGGTGGTGCTTTTATATATATATATATATAATATATAAAGGAAACGTAAGGTGAGTCCCCATTCTATTTTAGATTACACTGGAAATTAGTTTTTAAGGCTCGTTAGGTGATTGTTAACAATAAAAGATTGATTCAGGTGCAACTTAAAGGTTTAGTTGCTCAAAGCCAAGATGTGTGTATACCAACAGTGATTGGCCCAAGTGAAAGAAGCTCGTAACCCCAGCATCATGAAAATAGTTCAAATCCGTCTGGAATCACTGAGGAGGGTTTCTCTCATAAAATGATGAACCGATAGAATCCCAGGGCTTTAGGCGTTTCCCTGCCTACTCTTGAATGTGTGCATTGGAGGTGTGGAGAGAGGGGAGAGGGGAGAAGAGAGAGAGGGGGGGGGTGGGGGTTGGAGGAGGAGGAAATCAAAGCCAAGATGTGTCGCCCCCTGGGTTTCTTTAAAATGTAAGCTCAGGAAACATCGAGTATCCTGATTCTTTCATCAAGAAAATGCTGGAGTTTGAGACTTGAACAGGCAACGAGCACTATAATGATTGAGATGGATGCACAATAAGTAAATGTTTCAAAAAGTTGCATCTAAGCCTGACAAGGCAGCACCAACTATTAACACCTTTCTTTTCAGTTTCTTAGTTTTGTTACGTATTCTCTTGTACTTTGTTTCCACCACCAACCAAAAGGCCAAAGAGGCATAAATGTCAGCATGGCAAATGCTGAGCGATTACCTACTAGGAACAATCTACTCCATTCTCCTGGTAAAATATTAAGGATGCTGAGCACTGAGGTATCGCACCGGGATTCGCTGCTGGATTGCCGTCCTGCATGAAGGGCAATCCTTCATGCCTTGCTTTTCATGGAGGACATTACATTCTGCACAAAGAACCTGATGTGAACATGGTAGGAATACCACGGACATCTCTTCTGTCAAACACATAACGCACTCCCTTTCAGGCCTTACACTTCCTGCCCCTGCCCCAAAATTGTCCTGGAAGACTGCCAACCTCTTGTTAATTTTGGGCACCTGAAAACCCTGACAAGCAGAGGCAACTTTGCTACCCATTAAGCCACTACCATAGCCAATATCAACTCCCCTAAGAAGTGCTGCTATTTTTGAAGATTCAGACTCTAATCTCAACTCAGAAATTTCTTTCTCAAGCTTCTTAACATTTTCCATGCAATTTTGTAAATTTCTTTCATCTGTCTCTCGCAGGTTGTCCTCCTCTGCTTTTGTCCGAGCTTTCTGTTGTTCAGTTTCCCTCTTCAGTGACTCAGCTTGTCTATAATACTTTAGTTTTTCTCGTTCTTCCTGCTTCCATAGGGCCTGAAATTTGTTTTTCTCAACCTGGTCAGAATGTTCGAATGAATACCAGATATTCACCCTCCCCACCATTCCCTAATGCAGAAGATGGAAACCATAAATGGCAGAAACCATAAACCCTAGTAAATATAACTAGCTCTTCAAGAACAGAAATCAAATTGCACAAGATTATTGCAAAACAAGCATACATGTCCAAGTTGAAGGAAATCATGCATTCATATTCAATCTCCTTTTTTCCTTTGGTGCTCTTTCTTGTTCTCTTTTCCTTCTTTATTGAGTGTTAGATGCCAGGGAGCAGGAAGGGGGTGGGGTGTTTTTTTTGGGGGGAGGGGGGGGGGCAATGAAAATAAAATATAGCAGAGATAATTTACTAAATGCCCATCTTTTCAAATGTATATTATTTATACGCGAAAAAAGAAAAAGTATACATTCATAAAAAGCAATCCTCTCGATATCATTATACCACGCAATACACCTTGCTGCTTTTTTTTCAAGATAGTAAGCCCTGTGCATGAATGCTGGTATATTCCTTTTCTTTTTTTTTTTTTTTGGAAGGGAGGGAAGGGGGGGGGGGAAGGGAAGGGAAGAAGGGCATACCTCAAACTGGTTTTTGCGAGTTTTTGCCTTTTCTAATTGGTGTTGCAAATCTGCCAAATGGTGCTTCAGAGTTGCTAACTCCTCCTGCAAAGCAATCTTCTCCGTGTCTGCCAATTGCAGCCCCTTCAGTGCCTCCTGCTCTTTCTTCACCGCCTTAGTAAAATTTGTACTGGCCTTTAATGCCTGGAATCTAGCAGCCTCTGCTTGACTTTTCAGCACATTATTCTCATTTTCAAGCCTGTGAATACTCAAATTAGCAGTGTCAATCTGAGCTGCAGCATTAGAAATTGCATACTCCATCTCAGAGAGCCTCTTCATGGAACCTTCCTCCAGAGCTGGCATCTCCTTTTTGAATCTATCAGCCTCTTCTTTCTCTTGCCTCAACATTTTCAGCTCCACCTGATCCTTGCTAAGCCTCCGAGTAGCCTGCATCACCTTCTCATTTGCCCAATCCTTCCAGACTTCAATTTCTTTCTGCAGTGCTTTCATGTGGGAAGCTAGATTCACTATTGTTTCCTCCTTGTCATCTTGGGGAACATACTTTCCCAGAGACTCATCATATGGAATTCCAGCATAATAATCAGGAACTTCAGAGGAGTTAGTATGATTAGTTTTGGCTTTTGCAGCAGGCTTGTGGTCAAGCGTTGAAGATGTAGGATTGTTCTTGTTTACTGCAGGTAATGCGAAAACTGTGTCTGCCACAGACAACACACTAGGTGCATCTGTCCCTTGGTGAACAGATGTGGAGTTACTAGAGATATTACAATTGCCATCAGGAAGAGGACCATTAGCTCCAATTGAAGTAGTTATTTTTGAATAAGTACTCTTCATTACCACACCAGAAGAGCCAGACGGTGACTTCAGTGACTTGTCCAACACCATGCTACCCCAGGTAGTCAGCTTTGCTTTGAAAGCACCCTTAGACATACGGCCTTTGTAACTTTTCTCAAAATGAAATGTTTTTTGTCGAAGCATGTCTCTCTTGGAACTACCTGCTGAACCCTTTCGACTAAGCACAGCTTTTTCTTCTACAACAGCTTGAGTTACAGTAGGGGCATGCTCCCGACCAGTGCTCAAGGATTTCCCCCGTGTTTCTCCAGGAGGAACTAAACCTTCTTTCCCAGTGATTGCAACATCATGAACATGGGAATTCTTTAAGTTGGGCAACTGACTGACTGCAGCAATTGCAGGCATCTCAGAATGAGAATTTTTTGTTCTTGGAGCTGACAGTTTCGAAGTACATGACTTGTTGAGGTTTTGATCACTTGTTTCAGCAGCCTCTGGTGTCAATGGAGAAACTGTTGAATCACATGGGCTTTCTCCAGAATATTCTGGGATGCAAAAGCTACTCAAGTGATCTCTATCCACTATACATGCGTGTAATAGATTCAGATCACAAATCAAGAGCCACCACATTGCTTCACCCACAGTTAAACATGGTCTAACTTCCCTAACCACTGCTATCATCTCAAGTATTGTATAGTTCACCAGGCTGTCTAAATCCTCAAAAACATGATGCCTTGAAGTTTCTAGTTCCTTTTCTCTACTCACAAGTGCCAAAGCACCATCCACAGCATTTGACACAACATCCTTAGTACCATGGTAAAGGCCACTCCTCAAAATAAGCTGCTCAGCAACTTCACTACTGTATCCACTTTCAACTACCTTCTTAATTGCACTGCGGAAAGTCTCAAGCAGGTTACTTGATAAAAGTTCCTGAAGCTGACAAACAACAGGATCATCCCATTCGTCCTGGTCAGGTTCTTCCACTTCATGTTCTTGACAAGGATTATCAGACCTTGCCTCCACTGGAGCAAGCTCAATTTGGGTATTGCGAAGTTTTTCCTCCAATAACTCATATCTTGGGAACTCAGTCAACGACAGGGCTGATACATCAATCATGTCCAGAGGAAACTCTGCCAAATACTTCCTCTTGTTCTTACTTCCTTTTCCATAAGCTGAAATAGAAGAATGCATTTCTCTGCTACCACCAATATCACTGCTCTCACCCATGTCAGCAAACTAGAGAACAGCCTATCAAGATTTCAATTCTCAGGCCTATAAAGTCAGCTTCCTATGCAGAATCAAAGTTCCATTAGGGTGGTAAAATATGCAAATCAAACAGTCTTGCATTAGAAGAAAGAACAACACGAAACAGCAAAAATATTCCAAACAGAACAGCTCACAGCAGTCTCACTAGTTATCTCTAATGATCAATGCCAAAAAGTTCAGACAATTCAAAGAACCACAACTTCCAAAAATTCCAGCAATGAAATACTCCTATAAAATCAATATCTCCCAGAACCACTATATATATCAGCAACATAGAAAAACAAAAGAAAAGAACAATTAAATTGATGAAAGGATACTTTCAGACTTCACCATTTGCTAAAACTACATTTCGTCACCCAAATCACTTCACAGAAAAAGATCATATTATCTTCCAGTGATGGCCAATGCAAGAAAAGATGAAAGAAAATATCTCCTATAATTAATAATTTGTCACTCAGTAATAGGTAAAAGTGGCAGCTAAAAGAGTAAAAAGAACAACACCTGTAAATTACTCCTTATGGTGAAGACGAAGCCAATGAAAAATCAATGATACCCCGCAACAAACCACTGCAATCAATTAACAAAAAGAAAGACAAAGAACAAAAAGAAAACAAAAATTAAAATCCCGTCAAATAAGAGCCATTTAAAAAACACCCATTTTACTAGGTAGGTTCGTCGGACGTCGTGGGCTGGCCGTGATTTTCTTTCCTTTTCCCAACAATTAATTTGACTTTTGTTTCCAAGAGGTATAAACTGACAGACCGCAAAGCTAAATGGGTAATCTTTAGCTATCAACAAACCCCCAAAAAAACCCCCCACTTTAAAAGTTTTTCACGCCAAATTCATGACTGCATGACTGTAAACAAAAGAGAAAAAAGAAACAAGAAAAAGAAAAAGAAAAATCGTCACAGGAAAAAATTTTCCACCGAAAAAAATAAAAGAAGGAAATTGGAAAAAAATGAGTTTCTAATGAACCTGCAAATGAGAAGAGCTCAAACTCAATCGGTAAAGGAGAAAAGGGCAGTCACAGAAAAGTTGTGAATCCGCAGAAAAATTCAGGGGCAGCCACCAACATCATCATCAGCATCATCATCATTATCATTATTTGTGTATAGACAGTGAAGAGTGAGGAGGATTACAATACAGGCTCCCAGTCCCAGGACACGCACACAAACACACACGCACACACACACTCCCAGCCCCCCAACACAGACACAAGGCTATATATAATGGAAAGCTTCTGTGATGCACCATCCGCCCCCCGGGGTGCTGCTGCCTTCCCCCAACTTATATATGAGCCTCACTCTCTCGACTCTAAAAAGACTCCAAACACTGCCCCATTTTCATTTTTATTTTTTATTTTTTCTGGCGTTGCTATTTATTAGTATTGGTCCTCTCGTTTCGGGCCCGTCCAGTGAAAATGATGGGTTTCTCTACCCAGGGGTGGCTGTATAGCCTATCGAACCCACCTAGGCCCGCTATCCAAAGGCGTTTCCAAACATCAATTGAAGATTTTCAATGAAAACATCACGAGGCGTGTCTCTTAATGAATCAAAAATTAGTTTACAGAAAATCTTCAGTTCCTGTAGTTTTCCCGGGCACGTTGCATCGAGTCCAGTCCAGGTGAGAATTAATTTTTATCACGATAATTCATATTCAATGGAGTACATAATCAAATAAATTATTTGTTTTTGAAAGTTGATACCGGTGCCATAGCTTGTGGGCTTTGGGCTTGGAGGATTATCTTTTTCGGTTTCTTTACGACCCAAAAAGTGACGAAGAGTTTAACAGACCCACAGCCAGCCCACTTTTATTTTTGCCGTACATAATATACTCCAATTTTTGCCTGGATTGCTTGCAACACAGAATACCGGGGGAGTTGGGACTTCAGGTTGACGCCCGCCTTTCTCTTTACCGGTTGACGCCCGCCCGTGGTCAAAGGACTTGGGGAAGGAGGGTAACGGCGGGAGAGAAATCTTGATTGGGAAGAAGATGGTGAAGGAGACTCCCAAGACTGCCAAGGTATTCTTACCCTGTCATGCCTTAATTTTTTGTTTTTTTTGGGGTGCTTCCAATCTGTTTGATAATTTGAATCACCGAACTTTATTTGACTCGTGATGGCTATCCTGTTGTCGGGGGCGGTTGAGAACAGGCACCTCGAACAGCTGATATGTGGGCTGTGCAGTGTGACAAGTGCTTCAAGTGGAGAACTGTTCCATCCCAAGAAGAATATGAAGAAATCAGAAGCAAATTCAAACAAGATCCCTTTCTCTGCAGCAAGAAACCCAATGTTTCTTGTGATGACCCGGCTGATATCGAGTACGATTCAACTCGGACTTGGGTGATGGACAAACCCAACATTCCTAAAACCCCCACTGGATTCAAGAAAAGAATGGTCATGAGGAAAGATTTTACCAAGATGGATGTCTACTACACCACTCCCACTGGTAGGATACTCAGATCTTCCACTCAAGCGGCCTCTTTTTTGGATGCAAATCCACAGTTTAAAGGCTTGTCTCCTTCAGATTTTAGCTTCGCTTCGCCCAAAATAATGGAGGATACCATTCCTCAGAATGTGGTCAGGAAAGGTTTACCTGGTATCCTCGACTGATTGAAGCTGCAAGAAGATATATTCATAGTGAAGTCTCGGCTTTTAGGATACTATTTGGTGCTCTACCTAACAACAATTAAGGACTCGAATATACTTCCTGTTAATATATGACTCCATCGCGGTTGAAACATGATTGGACTTGATAGCAAGTTTCCCCTTTGGGCTGCTGAACTAGAAGCAAATTTTTTCATTTTTAGGCTGCTTTTGCCTTTTGCCCTTAGGTTGTAAATAAATTTTTGCGACAGACGTTTTCTCTGCGCTATTTCTATAGTTTAGAGCTATTTGTCAATTACCAAAATGCTAATGACACGGTGCTGACCACAGTTGCATGGGTTTATTGTTGATCATTCAGCCCCTTCCACATTGGATTTTTTTTTCTTTTTCCTTTTTTGGGGATCATTTGAAAACCTAAAATATCAGCCTTCTCAGGTGCTTGATCAAGCTCGAGTTGATCGAGCCAGAGCTCGAGCTCAAAACATTAAGCTCGTTAAGCTCGCGAGCTCGAGTATATGTATATTTATTATTTTTATTTTTAATAATAAAATTATATAAATATTCTTAATATTTTATTATTTATTAAAAAAAATATTATTTTATTTATTTTTTTAAAAATAAAATAATTATTTTTTATTTTTTTCGAGCTCGAGCTCAAAAATTACCAACTCGTCGAGCTCGAGCTCGAGTTCGATGAAATTAAGTCAAGGCTCGACTCGATAAGGCCAAAACTCGACTCGACTCGTTTGCAGCCCTACTTGATAGCAGAGCTGAGAGTGACAAAAGCGAAGACTCCATTTATCCATTCCGAACCGACGACATGGTTTTCAATACATTTTGCACATCAAAGACGATACTATTATACACGCTAAAAACTTTTACAATGCGGTCAAGGGCTCTTACCCAATATTTACAACCTTTTTAAAGTAAATAAATGCAGTTGGGCAATATGAAACTACTGAAAAACTATACATAACGGAACTGTGTGTTACTAATTCTTCCCGACATCGAACTAAAAAATGTGATCGAGAAGCCTAGCAGAGTAATCTCTAAGTCTCAAATCAAAAGGCTGCCTCTGGTCAGTATTTCTCATATACATGTAAACGTTAGCCGTATCAAGAGTATGTTGACCCTGTAAAAGAAGGGAGCGCTGCGATTGACAATCTAGTCTGGCTTCGTGTACTCAAGCAACATATGAGGTGACCTGTAAATCTTCACCAGCGTCCAATATAGGATCTCTTCTACTCCAAGTTCTCCCTCTGCTCTAGCAGCATATATATCCTCACAGATGGCGATCAACCTGCAAAACCCATATGTCAAATGAAATATTGCGACTATACTTGCAGGAGGACGTCTTCAAGGCCGCTTTGGAGAAAGCCAAAATACCCTATACGATTAGTCACAAAAGCTTTTTCGCAAGCATTTGCAACAAGAGGAGGTGTAAACCAAAATCCTATAGTAATTAATAAGAACACATTCCAACCAATTCCCAAAAAATATAATGTGATGATTCAATTAAAAAAAAAACTCTAATTAAGTCCAAGATTCCCCAAGTAAGAACCCTTGGACCATCATTTATTCCACTAATAGGTAGAATGATTAAAAACTCAAAGAAATTGTTGTCTTTTTGTCAAAATCAGAGATGCAACTCCTTTCTGCTATGTTGCCAGTGCTTCTGCACTGAGATGCAAACTACTCCTTTACAGGACAAGGTGAGTTTCTGCTCATACCCTTTCAAAATGACAATACCATAATTTGCTTCGTGGGCTCTCTGTTACAAAAACATGAATTATTATGTTTGACAACCTTTAACCCAGACCAACTCTGTCCACTGTTTTTTCGTTGTGGCTACAGCGACATAACACTCTTCCCTACAAGTGTCAGGATTGCTACGGATTTCAGGAGGAGTATATCTCCAGGAAAGGACATTCATAAAACCTCCCTTTTATGGAGTATAAGCATCAATACTCAAATTTGTACTATACTAAAACATGACAATTAACAGTATGCTGTTATTAAATATATTTAGCTGCATTTGCATACTTAAATCATAATCAGTAGAGGGCAATGTACCTGTCGCAAGAAGGAAGATTCTCGTATGGGATCCTCATTCGCAAATCAGAGCACTGAAGTCTGATAAAGCGTCCAACTGCTAGCACAAATGTAATGTACAGGCCCCAGATACTGAATTTGCTGAGCGTCTCGCCAAGGAAACCCTCTGACATGGTTTTGACATATCATAAACAAAGTCACATGAGAATGAGGTATAAAACTTAAAAACAAGAGAGGCAGCTTTTCCCTACTGCCTAAAGTGGTAAGCTATCCCTTGGTTCAAATAACACCCTACTAACTTCTATGGCATTTTAAAATCTCAGATCTGCGACTCCCCCTTTTTCCCAGCTACATCCACCCAAAACCTTTAGCCTTTAGTTGATTCAATATGACTGGTGGGATAGATATGACATAATGCATGTTAAATTTAGCCAATTTTCCAGAGTCAAAGAGTGGTTTTCTTCGACCGCAGAAAAAAAGCCCCTGCAAGGAGAGAGGGGTAGAGACAGGGGCACAATAAGAGTACCATGGTATAGGAAAAGGGACAAGGTAATGTCTATAAACAAAATGTATCGGCACAATCACATCCAGAAGTGGACTGATAACATCTAAGGAAAACCAGAACTTCAAAGTGGTATCTAATAAATATTACTAATTACTTACGTGGGGTTTCTTCTGATACAATGATGGCCATTGGCCCTTTTAACCCTCCACAGCCACTAACATCCAACGAATTGATATCATGAAAGGACCACCATTCCAAATTCCCATTATTAAGGACAAGGTCAGCACTGACATCGTTAGCCTGTCAAATATTGGCGAACATCTTATTTCTCCATGGTAAAATAGTCAACGGACATGTATTTATCAAGTTCACCAGTAACTCTAAATAGAGTATGTTCAACTAAGTAACACTTTTTCCACCAGAAATTGAATCTCACTTTTTTGGTGAGCCAAACAATTTTTACATCAGTATCTTGTACTCATGTAATATTTTGAAGTAAAAGATTCCACATCATGGTCCTTGTGTTGAAAACTGTAATTCTTTCCAGAATAGATATAAAAATTTAAAAGAACATGCATATTTTCGTAATGCTACACCCACTGGATGAAAATATAAACATGCAAGGGTCAGTCTGAACAGTACACTGACGAGAAGAAATGTAGAAGCACAACATTACATTGTAGAGAAGGGTAAGTGTTGGTTGGTGGCTGATGATGGAAGAACATTAGGAAAAAGCATACCTCCTGTTCAAAAGGCCTAACATCACCCGAACCAGTAACGCGAAAATATCTTGGATAGATGTTTCGCACCCGAAAACTACTACTAGTGCCATTAAACACTGCCTCAACCTCTGATGGTTTTGGGCAATCCATTGGATCAACTGTTCTTTCATATTTAACAACTTCCTTGCCCTTTGGTCTGTCTCTGGTAAGAATCCAAGAAAACTTGATATTCATCTCTTCATTGAGAGACCAAAGGAACCTTCTCTGCACCATATGAGGGACAAGCCACAAAGTACTCGCATCAGATTGACAGCAAACCAGTTGGATGTCACGCACATTGTATGTATCCAAATAACCTTGAGGATCAAGATCAATGACTGTGTTCAGCTGATCCCACGAAATTT